CTTCACATTCTGTGTGTGTGAAACTGATTGTTCCTTCCTAAGTGGAGCACTTTGCATTTGTCCTTATTAAACTTCATCCTGTTTTCCTCAGACCATTTCTCCAGCTTGTGCAGATCATTTTGAATTTTGACCCTGTCCTCCAAAGCAGTTACAACCCCTCCCAGCTTGGTATCATCTGCAAACTTAATAACTGTATTCTCTATGCCCTCATGTAACTTGTTGATGAAGATATTGAACAGAATCAGTCTCAAAACAGACCCCTGCGGAACCCCACTTGTTATGCCTTTCCAGCATGACTGTGAACCATTAATAACTACTCTGAGAATGGTTATCCAGCCAGTTCTGCACCCACCTTACAGTAGCCCCATCTAGATTGTATTTCCTAGTTTATTGATAAAAAGGTCATGCAAGACCATATCAAATGCTTTACTAAAGTCTAGGTATATCACATCTACCACTTCTCCCTTCTCTACAAGACTCATTATCCTATCAAAGAAAGCTGTCAGATTGGTTTGACATGATTTATTCTTTACAAATCCAGGCTGTCTGTTACCTGTCACCTTATTATCTTCCAGGTGTTTGCGGATGAATTCCTTAATTACCTGCTCCATTATCTTCCCTGGCACAGAAGTTAATCTGACTGATCTGTAGTTTCCTGGGTTGTTTTTATTTCCCTTTTTATAGATGGGCACTAGATTTGCCCTTTTCCAGCCTTCTGGGATCTCTCCCGTCTTCCGTGAGCTGTCAAAGATGATAGCTAAAGGTTCAGATACCTCCTCTGTCTGCTTCTTGGATGCATTTCATTAGGCCCTGGTGACTTGCAGACATCTAACTTTTCTTACTAATGTTTAACTTGTTCTTTTTTTATTTTAATTTCTAACCCATTCCCACTGGCCTGAGAAAAAAAAAAAAGGTTGTTAAGCAACTCTGCCATTTCCAGGCTTTCTGTTATGGAGGGACCCCTCCTTTTTTCCTTTCTTAAGCGGGCAAAAAGGGGCAGAGAGGAGTGAGTGGCAGGCGGGGCTCTGGAGGAAAGAGGCGGAGTGGAGGCGGGGCCCAAGTGGGCACCTGGGGGGCGAGGGTGGAGTGGAGCTGGGGCGCAGAGTGGAGGCGGGGCCCCGGGGGAAAGAGGTGGGGCCACTGTTAGGGCACTGGTTTGCTGCCCAATTTTGGGGAGTGTCTGTGCTCCTGCCCTCGTTCCCCTGCCCATAGGACGTTTGAGGACATACTTTCCATACACTCCAAATGTCGGAACGTCCAGACCCACCACCGTCCACACGGGACTCAGGCGTTCCCCCCGCCCCCCGCCGCTCTGAGCCGACCGGGGAGAACTCAGCCCTTGACTTGGCTCCGCCCGGGGCTAGCCATGGGCGGGAGAAGTTCTCCTTGGACAGCGCCCTGTCCACATCGGCACTTAGACCCGTGTCACATCACATAGGGGTCTGGCTTAGTCTCACCCCTTCCCGACAGCCGTTATAGCGCAGTGAGCTGGAATGGAGCCACGGCCTAAGTCGGGTTGCATCGGCGTGGTCAGACAGGCCAGGGTCTCCCTCCCTCTGGCCCCCGTGACCACAGATTGTGTGATTGGCAATTGGCTCCTCTGGGACTCTGACACAACACCACAGCCAGGCCTGCGGCCAGGGGGCGGGGAAAAGGGGCAGTTACCCCCGTGCCTGGCAAGGATCCAGGATTCTGACTACTGCTGCAGTAACAGCAGCTGGAGCTCAGACCTTTTAAATGGCAGCAGGAGCGCTGTGCACTCCACACAGCACTTCGGCCTGGGGCAGGGGGCTTGTCTGTGCTCTGGGAAGCACTGCAGGTTGACTGCCCTCTGCTCCGCCCCTTCTGGGCGTGTTGAGCTGCCCTCCCTCATAATACGATATACAGAGATACACCATCTCATGGAGCTGGACGGGACCTCGAGAGATCATTGAGTCCAGCCCCCTGCCCTCACAGCAGGACAAAGCACCATCCCTGACACCCCAGATCCCTAAATGGCCCCCTTAAGGTTTGAGCTCCCAACCCTGGGTTTAGCAGACCAATGCACAAACCACTGAGCTATCCCGCCCCCGTCTTGCCCAGCGCCCTGCAGAGTGGCCGCAGTAATAGCCGAGGGACTGCCTGACCCTTGAAAGTTACCAGGAAGGGGGGATTTTCCTGCTCAGGGTTAGCAGCAGCCCTTGCAAATGTTGAATGATTGCACACGAGCATGAGTAATAGCAAAGCACCCTGGCCAGCAGTGCCTAAGGCGCGGCGTGTGCAGCGGATCCAAGCGAAGGCTGTGCTGGATTAGATGACCGTGCGAGCGACCCTCCGGGGGGGTGCCAGTCCTAGATTCCAAAGGGCTCCCTGGCCCAGGGGGACAGCTAGAACAGGAAGTTCCAGCCAAACACATTCCAGCCGGAGCCAGGGCAAGCGTTTCGTAGGGAGGGATCAGCCCGTGGAACACACTAGCCAGGGAAGCGAGGGATTCTCCTTCTCCCAGTCTGGAATGTGCTCAGGGCTGGGGCACCGGGTGGCCAACATCCACAGGTCAGCCTGGCTGATCTCTTGCGCCCTTCTGGCCCAGCAGGCTACGATGCCCATAGGCTGTAGTCTAAGGTGCGCCAAGCACATTACAAACTCGGAGCTGCCCTGCTTCCTAGCAGAGTCTGCACGTACAAGGGGAGACCTGGAGCTGCCTGGAGCTCCACTCAGTGCAGGAGGGAGGGGCCCAGCTGGGCTGCGAGCTGGCTTTGTGGTGCCTGGGATGCCCCAGAAGGGAATTCTCCAGTTCAGAGGCACGTGCCCCCGCTTTCTGGTGGCTGCTGCGGCGCGATGGGGAGCGATTCGGTCTCTGGCCTGCTCCACATGGGGAGTTGAGGTCGAACTTACCCGCTTTAGGTGGAATTTCTAACCAGCGAGTCCACGCTGCCACACCCATTCCATTGACTGCGGGACGTCAGCTTTCCACGAGACCTAACCACAACATTCGACCTTGCACGGTCGACTTTCCAGTCGTGCAGGCGCAGCGCTGGTCTCACAGCCCTCCCTCGCCCAGCTGGTGCACTGTGGTCCCCGTCCCGCACTCGCAGGGCCTGCAGGGTGTGTGGTTCCACCAAGGGAGAGAAATGTTCCTGCCCAAAGCCAAAACCACATCCGCTCCTTTGGTAAAGGTCCATTCCTGAATGGTCATGACTTAGATGGGTTGAGAATTTGGTCACACCGTGGTGTCATGCCATGTGCCACAAAGCGCTGCCCGAGTCACGCTGAAGAGCCGCTTGCAATCCGAGCGCTGCTGGGGACTGTCAGAGCCAAACAGTGCAGCCTGCCGGAGCCCGGCTGGCCAAAGGTTAGGGGGCCGGTGCCAGGCGAGGGAGCCCATTTTGGATCGGACAGGGGTCTGTGGGCTTGACAGAGGGTGCTGAGAGTCATGGGCAGGTCAGGACGGGGTTGGGCCATGGCCTCGTTACGCTAGGAGATTGGGTGCAAGCAGAGAAGGAGGAAGACAGGAACCTTCATGGGTTTTTTGAGGAGCTTTAAAATTGTTCACGGTTAAACCTCCAGCCCCCAACTTTCTGGGGTCCATTCCTATGGGGGAGGTTACAAGAACCTTCTGACAAAGCAACTTTCCTGTCCTTTTGGACCGGCCTTGCCAAGCTCGTGCGAGGTGCCTCAGCGCTCACCATCCTGCTCCCGGGGCCTCCCCTGCGCAACTCTGCCTGCCACACTGTCCCCAAGTAACGGGACTGACTCGGGACCTGGTCCGGGCCTTTCACTGGCTTGCCGCTGCCTGGGCCCCAAAGCAAAACCTCCACCCTGGTGCACCAGTGTCAGGACTGCAGGGAAGGTGCTCCGGGTTTGCACGTGTGTGACAGAGGCGGAATTTGGCTCTGTGCTTGCAGATCATCCTGGCCCAGTAGTGGTGACTGCGGGAGCCAGGAGGTGCCAGCAATTGGATAGATTTTCAAGGACTTGTTCTAGTGCAGCTTTATTTTCTATCCCTGAGCATCATGGGTGGCCGGGAAGGCTGGGGCCACAGCATGGCAGCGCTGCTCCCTGGCTGCCGGGGAGGGATGAGGTTGGGCCGCAGTACGGCAGCCCCGGCCCTCCAGGTAGCCAGGAAGGATCGGGTTTGGAGTGGGCGGGGCTTGGCTCCAGGGGCGGGCTTTGGACAGAAGGGGCGGGGCTGGTGCTGACCTTCCCCAGCTGGGCCTTCACCCGCTGCCTGTGTTGAGCATGGAAAGCTCTGGAGAACGCTCTCTCCATAACCCCTGGCAGAGTGGAGGAGTAGCGCATTTGCTGGGCACTTCTCACCCCTGTGGGACTTGCTGCCAGTCGATGTACGGCGTGTCTGAGCAGGGTGCTCATTAGCATAGAGCCCGCCTCCCGCTAGAGTGGCAGCTGGCAGAGGTTATCAGCAGTGCGCATGTGAGTAGGAAGGCGATAGGCCTAGGAAAGGCGCCTTGCCGACACCTGGCTGCCTGGAGCCTAGAAAGAAGAGACGGTTGATCTAAAGGAAGCCCGCAGAAACAAAGCACAGATTAAATGCAGGGACTGCACCTGGCGCTTTTGATTTGATTTTTCCATTCATCACGATGCACTTTTATTTCTAACCATAGCCTCGAGGATGCTGCCAGATTTGTTCTGTGATTTGTCCCCTTTTCCTCCTCCAGATGTCCAAACGGATTCTTCGGACAGAGATGTTTGGAAAAACTGCCTTTGCGATTGTACATGCCAGATCCTAAGCAAAGTATGTGTGAAGACAAAAAACGCACCACACTCCTTAAATCTCCTGGGCACAGCGCAGCGCTGGACTTAGCGAGGTCTAGCCAGGGCTGTGTTTTGATATTATGCTTGGGCTAGGGTTTAGGGAAACAGGTAAGGGATCAGGCTGAGAGCAAACCTGTAGGACTCATGGAAGGGACCCGAGGTGGCGTCAGGAGGGGCCGCATTTCAGTCCACGTGGATATCATTTTGCTATCTTGTTTCTCTCTTTCTGGTTTTCTTTCTTTCGTTAGGTGTCCGATCGAATTCACCGGGGACCGGTGTGAACACTTCGCAATGGTCAGCTTCTCCAGTATGTCTCTTTCTACTTCTCTTTCTCCCTGATTGCCTTAGCGCTATGTGACAGCTTTACAGCAGGCTCTTCCCTTCCTTCTCCTCTTGTCACGCCTGCCTAGCTCTGGCCAGCATTACTGGGAGCTAAGTGACTGTGGCTAAGAGGAAAACGAAAGCTCGCGGTGGCTCGCAAGCATTCTGAATGGGTCTTGCTTTCACTGGTCATCCAATGCCATGTAGGATTGTGCAGTTTGCTCTATTCGTGCAAAATCCAAATATGCAAACATGTTCGAGTGTGCTGCGGAGCACAGCCCGAGCGATAAGAAACCTCCATCGAGGTCATCACGGGAAGCCGCTCTGCCCCGTGCGCAGGGATTTTGTCCTGAAACTTTGAAAGTGAGTGGGCTCCGTGAGTGTCTTGGTGCCAGTTTGGAACTCATGGGTGGAATTGGGCTGAAGACCGCCAATTATTTCGGAAGAACGGTCAGACTGGGCCAGACCAAAGGTCCATCTTGCCCACTATCCTGTCTTCTGACAGTGGCCAATGCCACACACGTCAGAGGGAGTGAACAAAACTGGGCAATTCATTGAGCATCAATCCCCGTTACCCTGGTAGCGAGAGACTTAGGGGCACCCAGATCATAGGGCGGTGTCCCTGACCGTCTTGGCTAATAGCCGTCAATGGGCCTTTCTCCCAGGAACTTGTCTAATTTTTTTAAACTCACTTGTAATTTTGGCCTTCACAAGATTTCTCTGAGATTTCGCATAGACCAGGCTGTGTTAATTTTCCAGCAGCTAAGCCAAATGTCATTCACTGTGAAGTTGAGATGATCCATTACAGGCTTTGGATTAAACCCAAAGTCTTCTCTACTGGCTGGATTATGGCTGTTCCTTTCAGACGTTCTTGGTGGTGCAGCTCCTGAAGCGGAGTAGCCGTAGAGATCCCTCCTGCGGACAGAGTTCCTCCTACAACTCCCTATGGGATATGGCATCCTCCCACTGCTTCCAAAGTGGGACAGGACCTGATGTAGATCACTGAGGCCTTCATTTTCACTAGGTGCCTGATCAGACAAACTCCCTTTGTCTGGAAGTTTGTAGTGGGAGTGTGAAACTCAGGCCAAAATACTGATGAGTGTAAATCAGGAGTAACACCACTCAAGTCATTGGACTTGCTCTGGTTTTACACCAGTGTGACTAAGAATCCAGCCCCAGGCCGCACCATTAAACATTGGGCTTCTCAGATGGTCAATTGTGCAGCCTGGACACTCAATAGTGCACATGAGTAGCCCCAGTGACTTGAGTGGGATGCTCGTGGGGGTGTTACTCGGCGTGACAAAAGTTGCAAAATCAGGCCGTGAATTAGTGGCAGATACTCAGTTAGACAAAAGGTGCAAGCAGTGTTGTGTCCAGTGACAAGGGGGGTGCTCCCTGCGAGGTCCTGGCTACCTGGCTTACGGGTGTCTCCTGAGTTCTGGCAGTGCAGATGTTCGTTCAGAATGCATGCATCTATAACACGGCTACATCTCTATCACTATTCTGCATTTATAAGGTTTGTGAACGTGGGCTGCGACGTTCTAAACATTCTAAAACGTTTGCCTAGATATTTCTCCTTAGCGTGGGTCATTGTTTCTCTGCTTTGCAAAATGTGCACCAGGCGCAATGTAAGAATTTAGGGAATTGCACTAGATGTATTTTCAAAACTTGCTCAGTTCTTCTGGCGGTTATTTGCCCCTAATTTTCATCAAAGGTAAGCCTCAGAGCTAAAAAACCCCAGACTGTCATGAGAGGCCCCCGAGATGTGACTATTTGCCAAGGGTCACCACAAACCCAGTGATATCTAAGTTCTGTCCTTACACCACTGTTTCTCCTTGTAAATATCAATAGTAAATGTGTAGTAACAGCTGGGAAATGTTAACTTTATAACAGTTTCTACTGCATGCACAAACAAGATGCAATGGGTTTTGTCAACAAGGATTTGGCTAGAGATGCGTGAAAATTGGATTTCTGTCCCATGTAAAATTTAGCTATGTTTCCATCTTTTTTTTCCCCCCCCAAATTAGGATGCAAAATTGAAATGTCAATTGTTTTGCTGAACAAAACATTCCAAAAATTAAATCTGAAAATGGCAAAGTGTTTTTGTTTCACAATTTTTGGTCAATATTACACAATTTCCTATTTCCGAATCAGGCCAATTTTTGAACTGACCCAAAATGTTTCATTTTGAGCTTGTTCAACATTACTCCATATTTCCCAATAGAAGCACATTACCTTGTGGGCAGGGTCGGCCCAAGGGGTTTTGGCACCCTAGGTGAACCAGGACTTTGGGGCACCCCTCATTCAATATAGAGAAAAAGGAGAAGTCTAGAATCCGATTTTACTGGTATTGACTTGGCATTCGAAATGAACACTGCAAAAATAAAAATTAATATTTGTATTGATTTGTTCTACTTTTCATTAATCGTAACATAAAAAAATGACGAATTTGCAATGCCACGGGACATCCGAGCATGTAGCTCTGCCTGCTGAAACTAGTCCTGGTGAGTTACTGCACATGCCAGGACATCACAGTACCATACATCTGGTAAATTGTAATTTACTTGATTATTTCAGTGTTCACTTAGGACTATTTAAACATTAAACAGAAGAGCAGAATTTCTATTCTTATCACACCTTATTGCAATTTGAATGGAAAGGAATGTATATGTTAAGTGGCATTTGCTAACAATAGCAGTCAGGTGTTCGAAAATTAGGGCTTTACTATTACTTTAATGATAACAGTCTACAATAAATATACACTCTTACAAATCTTACACGTACTTATGACTCTCCTTTTACAATCTTGTGAAAACTTCTTACCAAGTTTTTTTAAGACCAACACAATTGAGTCTCTTTGTGGGCACGGCGTCTTCAGGGTCACGGCTCGGAACAGGGCAGACCAGCTGTTGCGGGCCGCTGACTGGCCTTTGCTAAGCCGTGAGCAGCCCTGACACAGCTGTGTGACTGGCCAGCACGAGGCTACTGAGAATGACTAAACTGCCAGGCCCTGCCTGCAGGCAGCAAACGCAGGTAGCGCTCTTTTGAAACTAGGCCGTGACACATTTGAACTGTATTTACATACACAGCCGTGCTCCACAACGGGAAATAAAGAATAGAACTCGACTTCTGACGTGGCCATGACGCCCCACCGTTTGACGGTATTTTGCCATAGCTGATCCTTTCATTGAGAAGAGATAACATCTACATACATTTTTAAATAGAAAAAAATTCACTTCCATCTCTTTTTGTGCCCCTTAAAGCTTGGTGCACTAGACAACTGCCTAGTTCATGTATATGGTTGGGCCGGCCCTGCTTATGGGAATTCTAGTTCAGGTACAATTCCTCCATTCTCTCCTATGGACTATCTGACCAGGCCACATTTACTATGCTGAACCCATAGCAATGTGATTCCCATGATGCACCATATCAGTCGGTCAGAGGGGAGACCATAGAGTGCATCATGGGCGATGTAGTTTGGTCTCAGAGAGGTGTCATCCTTTGTGCAAAGAAGTTTTGCCAGTTACTTGCAATAGGAATTGCTTTTTTTGGGCATGCAAACAATGAATTTTTATCAGTGGGAAGTGCCTTTTGCTGGAGTATTCATGGCAAAAACTAATTATGCTTTGATTTTTTTTTTGCAAGACTGTAAAAATGTGATTTTTTTTCCATTGGTGGTGAGAGCTTTTTATTATATTCATAGCTTAAAATGACACTGTCACCTTTAAAATCACATATTACAATCAAACCCATTTCTTGGCTGACATCCCCTACTGATGTACTCATAAACAGGATGAGGTTTAATAAAGAGAAATGCAAAGTGCTCCACTTAGGAAGGAACAATCAGTTCCATACATACAAGATGGGAAGCGACTGTCTAGGAAGGAGCATGGCGGAAAGGGATCTCGGGGTCATAGTGGACCACAAGTTGAATATGAGTCAACAGTGTGATGCTGTTGCAAAGAAAGCAAATATGATTCTAGGTTGTATCAACAGGTGTGTCGTAAGCAAAACTCGTGAAGTCATTCTGCCGCTCTGCTCTGCACTAGTTAGGCCTCAGCTGGAGTACTGTGTCCAGTTCTGGGCGCCACATTTCAAGAAAGATGTGGAGAAATTGGAAAGGGTGCAGAGAAGAGCGACAAGAATCATTAAAGGTCTAGAGAACATGACCTATGAAGCCAGGCTTCATGAACTGGGCTTGTTTAGTTTGGAAAAAAGAAGATTAAGGGGGGACATGATAGCGGTTTTCAAATATCTAAAAGGGTGTCACAAGGAGGAAGGAGAAAATTTGTTCCTCTTGGTTTCTGAGGACAGGACAAGGAGGAATGGGCTTAAAGTGCAGCAGGGGAGGTTTAGATTGGACATTAGGAAAAAATTCCTAACTGTCAGGGTGGTCAAATATTGGAATAAATTGCCAAGGGAGGTGGTGGAATCTCCCTCTCTGGAGATATTTAAGAACAGGTTAGATAGACATCTGTCAGGGATGGTGTAGACGGAGCTTGGTCCTGCCTTGAGGGCGGGGGGCTGGACTCGATGACCTCTCGAGGTCCCTTCCAGTCCTATGATTCTATGATTCTATGATTATTAACTGTCCAGATTACCTTTAATTAATTATTTGTTTCTTGTTTATATTTGTCTCATCTTTATTATTAATAATAATAATAGAAGTGAGATTCACCTTTATGTATAGCTGGTCTCATTTCCAGGTTTCCAGAACTGCAATGTTTAGAATGCAAAAATGGCAGAGGACTGCTTACTTAGTTTCAACTTTTTCCAAATGGAAGATTGAAAGGAAAAAGCATTTCGCTTGGGGTTTTTTGTTTCTTTGTTTGTTTACAAAATCTAAATAGGGGGCCCACGCAAAGTTAGCACTGCCCCTTCCATTATCTTTCCACTTCACGCTATGCAAGTGAGACCGATCTGAAACAGAAACAGATTCAGACAGGCCCAGGAAAAATGTCCAGGGGAAAAAAAAAGAAACGTGCC